ACAAAGTGGTCTATTCTAAGCCTTTCAATTCTCTGTTTTAAGTCCTTAATTTATTTATTGTAAAAATCATATTTTAAAAAGGATTTGATTGCTCCCATTTTTCTTGCAACTTGTTATAGATGCTTGATGGGGAATTTTTCCCCATAACTTGATAATTATATCAGCAGTATATCTATAGATTTGAAGGAGCAAGTGTTAGATTTATTTGTTTTTATTTATTTGTTTTTGCTTTCAAAAATCGTTTGTTTCATTCTGATTAATTCAATGTTTAAAAGCAAAAGATTAGTAATTTTACTGGTGATCTATTTATATTTGTTTACAATATGGTTCTTTTCCTTTCTCTTTATTAACTTTGTACTTAAGTATTCTCATTCTTATTTCTATTTTTGAGAAATTTACCTATTTTTTAATCCAGCTCTTGATTTTATTTTATATTTCAATTGCTTTTCTAGTCCCTAATTCATCAAATTTCAATTTTCCTCACTTTCATGTCTTTTTTCTGTTTTCTTGGGTTTAATTTGTTACCTTTTAATGAACTTTTGAGTTGAATCCTGAATTTCTATTCCTTTTTGTTTTTCGATACACAAAAGGTTGTTGTGTGGTGGTCATTAGTTGCTGTCCAGTCGATTCCAATTCATTTCGATCCCATGTGTGTACAGAAGAACTGCTCATAGGGTTTTCAAGGCTGTTAACTTTTGGAAGCAGATAGCCAGGCCTATCTTCTGAGGTGCCTCTGGGTGGGTTCAAATTGCCAACGTTTTGGTTATATTCAAGTGCGTCTTTGTGCCTCCCAATTTCCTCTCAGTACTGTACTAAAAGGAAGCTATTTCATGATTATAGTTTTATGTTCAGCCCAAGAGTTTACTATTGGTTTTATTTGTTTTGTTTTGTTTGCTAAGATGAGTGTTGCTGTTTTAATTTCTAAACGGTTAGGATGGAAAGAAGGCATTTTTCTCTTGTTATCTACTGCTATTCTTAAAATGGTTGAAGAAGATGGCTATTTATTTGAACCTGCTGACACTTTGGTGGACTAATTTGGGTTCAGTGAGAAGAGGATGCTCCCACTGTAGAGGTCGAGGCACTGGTGTGGACCTCAGAGCTCAGACCTGAAACTTCTGTTGTTGGCTTGGTGGTTGTCTTAGTCATCTAGTGCTGCTGTAACAGAAATCCCACAAGGGAATGGCTTCAACAAACAAATTTATTCACTCACGCTCTAGTAGGCTAGAAGTCCCAATTCAGGGCACCAGCTCCAGGGGAAGGCTTTCTGTCTCTGTCAGCTCTGGGGAAAGGTCCTAGTCATCAATCTTCCCTGGTCGAGGAGCTTCTCAGCACAGGAACTCCGGGTCCAAAACACTCGGCTTTGCTTCTGGTGCTGCTTTCTTGGTGGTATGAAGTACCCCTGTCTCTCTGTTCGCTTCTCTCTTTTATATCTTAAAAGAGATTGACTTAAAATACACCTTTATTTTATAGATTGAGTCCTGCTTCATTAACATAACTGCTTCTAATCCTGCCTCACAAACATCATAGAGGTAGGATTTTCAACACATAGAAAAATCACATCAGATGACAAAATGGTGGACAATCACACAATACTGGGAATCATGGCCTAGCCAAGCTGACACACATTTTGGGGGGACACAATTTAACCCATAACAGAGGTCAAGGGCTGAGACATGTGTATGAGGCCCCATCATTACATTTGGTCTTTTGTTCACTTCTCTTTACTACTTATACTCCTTCGTATACTTTAGTACTTTGTAATTTTGTGCATAGGGGCAGTGATGATTCAGTGGTCTAATTCTCACCTTCCATGAAGAAGACCCAGGTTCGATTCCCAGCCAATGCACTTTATGTGCAGCCACCACTGGTCTGTCAGTGGAGGTTTGTGGGTTGCAATGATCCTGAACAGGCTTCAGCAGAGCTTCCAGACTAAGAGAGACTAGGAAGAAAGGCCTGACAATCTGTTTCTGAAAATCAGCAATGAAAACCTTATCGTTCACAATGGTTCAGTCTTCACTGAATCACGAGGATGCCGCAGGGCTGGACAACGTTTCCTTTCATTGGGCATGGGGTCACCAAGAGTTGGGGGCCAACATGATGGTAGCTAACAACAACAACGAATTTTGTGTGTAACTATTCATGACGGCTATTCCGTTGCTTTGTGTTGTTGCTTACACCAATCACGCTGAGACCCTCTTAGATCCATGTATTTTTAATATCTTTGTGTAACAAGTCTTACAGAGTGCTATCTATGCCAGGCACTTTAGAAATAGTAGGTCACTTAATCCTCACAACAATCCTATGAGGTAGATGTTATCCCCATCTTATGCATAAAGAACTGAGGCGCAGAGAGGTTCAGTAACATGCCCTAGGCCACACAGAGAGTAATTGGAAGACGCCTTCTTTAACCCAGGTTCCAGAGTCTGCATTCTTTCTTTACTTTTTTTCTTGAGATATAATTCTCATAACATAAATTTCATCTCTTTAAAGTGTAGAGTTCAGTGTTTTTTGGCATATTCACTGTGTTGTGTAGCCATCACCACTGTTGAATTCCAGAACATTTCCATCATCCCATAAAGAAACCCCATACCTGTTAGCAGTTGGTCCCAACTCTTCCATCCCCCACCCCCTGGCAACCACTCCTCTTCTTCCTGTCTCTGTAGATCTTGCCCTTCTAGGCATTTCATGTCAATGGAGTCATATAATATATCACTTTTTTGTCTGGTTTCTTTCAGTTAGCATAATGATTTCAAGGTTCAGCCATGCTGTAGCAAGTATCAGAAGTTCATTCCTTTTTAATGGCTGAATAACATTTCATGGTATGGATGTACCGCATTTTGGTTATCCATTCATCAGTTGAAGGACATTTGGGCTTTTCTACTTTGGGGCTTTTATAAATAACACTGCTGTGAACACTCGTGTATAAGTTTTTGTGTGAATACATGTTTTCAGTTCTCTTGAGTATATACCTAGGAGTAGATTGCTGGGTCATATGGCAGTTCTATGTTTAGCTTTTTGAGAATTTACCAAACTTTTTTCCACAGTAGCTGCCATTTTACATTCCTACCAGCAATAGATGAGGCAGAGTCTGTGGGGTTTTTTTTTTTTTTTAATCATTGTGCTTTAAGTGAAAGTTTACAATTTCAAGTTAGTGTCTCATACAAAAATTTATACATACATTGTTATGTGACCTTAGTTGCTCTCCCTGTACTGTGACAGCACACTCCTCCTTTCCACCCCTGATTTCCTGTGTCCATTCAACAGCTCCTAACCCTCTCTGCCTTCTCACCTCGCCTCTGGACAGGAGCTGCCCATTTAGTCTCATGTATCTACTTGAGCTAAAAAGCATACTCTTCACGAGTATCATTTTATGTCTTATAGTCCAGTTTAATCTTTGCCTGAAGAATTGGCCCTGGGAATGGTTTTAGTTTTGGGCTAACAGAGAGTCTGGGGGCCATGCCTTCTGGGGTACCTCCAGTCTCGATCAAACCATTAAATCTGGTCTTTTTACTAGAATTTGAGTTCTGCACCCCACTTTTCTCCTGCTCCATCAGGGACTCTCTGTTGTGTTCCCTGTCAGGACAGTCATTGGTGGTAGCCGGGAACCATCTAGTTCTTCTGGTCTCAGGCTGATGGTTTATGTGGCCCTTTCTGTCTCTGGGGCTAATGCTTTCCTTTGTTCTTCATTCTCCTTTACTCCAGGTGGGTTGGGACCAATTGATTCACCTTAGATGGCAACTCACTAGCTTTTAAGACCCCAGAGGCCACTTATCAGAGTGGGATGCATACCATTTTCTTAATAAACTTTGTTATGCCTATTGACCTCGATGTCCCCTGAAACCATGTTCCCAGACCCCCACCCCTATTACTCTATCCCTCGAAGTGTTTGGTTGTATTGAGGAAACTTCTTAGCAGAGTCTGTGTTTTTAAGTGATGCACTTATACTTCAGCGTTTAACATGAATTTAACTCATTCAGATATCATTGCCTTGGCTCCTATTTTCTTATTTTCCTTCCGCTTGCATTTTTATGGAATTTCTTAAAGCCAAACTTTAACCTTCGGGCTTGATCATTCTAAGTAAGTACCTTGAATACACCATATGCAAAACATGTGGTTTGGGGCCAAATATAAGAGTATGCATCTATTAAATTGAGTTCCATACTTACTGCTAAAACAGATATATTTACTCTTCTGTCATATTTATTTTATGCTTTCTCTTTTTAATATTTCCTTGCTTTTCTTCACTTTTGCTATATATAAGGTCTGTGCTATATTTTATTTTTCCCATCTGGTAATTTGGATATAATTCAGTTAGTTGATATTTCGGGTGGTGGCTATGTGTTAGCTTTAAGTAATACTTTTAAATCTGTATTTCTCAAGATAACAGTTACAGATTTTTGAACATTTTTTAGTAAAGATAAAGATTCGGCACACATACATCTCTAGCACTATCTCTGGCTCCATCATTCCATCATTATCCCAGGCCATTCTCTAAGTCTGTATGCTCTGATATTTTTTATCCTATTTATTTTAGCTATAATTATTTACATATTGTGTAGTTTTTATTTCTATAATAAAATATTGTGATGCTGTTTTGTAATATTAATTATCAGTGTTATCTGCTTGATTCTATGCTTGGTGCTTTTGTAAAACAACTTCCTCTTTTGTACATTATTTGAATTCTCTTTTGGTTGTCTGAATTATGTAACCATAAAAGGTGAACAGGTATTATATCATCTGAGTCCTCACGTGCTTAAGATTTTTTTCTGTAACTTTTATAAAAGGCAAACAAGTAGACTGGATACATTATTCCAGCCAACTGTTGGTTCTTCTATTGGTTACCTTTATAAATTTAAAAAATGTACTAAAAATTTTGCTTCTGTTTCATCATTGTTTGGTAGTGTCTCTTTTTCCCCAATTTGTAATGCCAGGATATTTGCACCCTAACTCTTCCTTCCATACCTCCCCCATACATACACATACCACCAACCACAACTCACCGTCAGTCAGCTACTCTGTAACTTTGACATTGTCAAGGTAGTTGATATTTAGATCTTGATTCTGCAATCAGTCAACTCTTCCATAGTCTTTTCTTGCGTTGACTCTGAAATCTGAAAACCAATATTCAGTACTGTCATTATGGAATTATTCAGTGCTGGCCAAGGCACATCTTAGAATTCTATTTCCCTCTCAGCACATCAATGCCGCACCCCCTGGGCCATTCAGAGAAGGACACTCCTAGCATTCAAGTCAAGTGGACTCCCAGTTCTTTGCACCAGTTGTTCAAAATGCAACATTTTAGTTTGCTTCACATTTTGTACACGGTATTGCACACTTTTATTTTTGTTGTTTATATCCTAGCGTTTATAATTGCATTTATTTTTCTTTTTTGGTTTTGTCATGTCTTATTTAAAAAAAAAAACCTCTCAATCATACTTTCTATTCCATCATATTTTGATTTTTTCCTCTCAGAGCCCTCTGTCCTAGCCCTTTTAGTAAACCAATTGCTTACCTGCTGTCATCCTGATACTTCAGATTAGTGCCTGCCGAGTGAGATGCACTGTTTCCTAAACCCATGTCTTCCTCTTCTTGATTCAGTCCCTCCACGTTCCTAAGTACTATTCCTGAAAAACATAGCCAAGTACTTTTTTTTTTTTTAATGGGTAGATGTTAGATATTGCAAGGAAAGAAAATTACAGGACAGATTTCCTCACGAACATATACTCAAAAAAGTATTACAAGCTTCAGCAAACTGAATCCAGCAATATACAAAAAAGATATAATGCATCATGGCCACATGGGATTTATTCCTGGAATGCAAGGCTGGTTTAATTTTCATAAATTCTAAAATCAACCAATGTAATAATAATATTATCAAACTAAATAAGGAAAATCAAACAATGATCTCAGTAGATGCAAAAAACTGACAAATTTCAGCACCCATTCATGATAAATAAAAACAACAAAAGATCTCTCAGCAAACTAGCAACAGAAGGAGACTCCTTCAACCTGAGAAAGGGCGTCTATGAAAAACCCATATCATACTTAATTATGAAAGAATAAACATTTTTCTGCTAAGATAAGGTTACAGGCAAGGGTGTCCATTATCACCCCATTTAGCCAGCAATGGTCCTTGCCGGAGAAAGACAGCTAGAAAAAGAAAAATAAGGTCATATATATATCGGAAAGGAAGAAACGTAACTCCTTACACGCAGATGATCACCTATGTAAAAAATTCTAAGAATATACAAAAAAAATTCTAGAACAAATACTTGAGTTTAGCAAAGTCACAATATGCAATTTCAATATATAAAAACCAATTGGATTTCCATATTCTTGCAATTAACTATTAGAAATTTAGATTTTAAAGAAAGTCATTCACAATTGCAAGAAAAATATGGAACACTGAGGGATAAATTTAACAAAATACTTGTGAGACCTGTAAACCAAAACCTACAAAACATTGCTAGAAGTAAGTACAGGAAACATAAATACATTGAGAGAGATTCCATGTTCATGGATCAGGAGACCCAGTAGTGGTGTCAATTCTCTCCAAATCAATCTTCAGGTTCAAAGTCACGCTAATCAAAATTCCAGCAAAGGTTTAGTAGAAATTGACAAGCCTTTTTAAATATATTATACAAAACTGCAAATAACCTACAAGCCTAAACAATATTGAAGAATCTATATTACCTGGTTTCAAGACTTACTATGAAGCTATAGTAATCAAGGCAGTGTGTATTGGCAAAACAATAGAATGGAATAGAGAGTCTAGAAATAGGCCCCCATGAACATGTTAATTATTTTTTACAAGGGTACCAAGGTAATCCAATGGAGAGAAGATAGTCTTTTTAACAAAGGTACTGGAAAAATTGAACATCCATATGCAAAAAAAAAAAAAAAAAATAGGAATGAGCCCTGACCTTCACGTCATGCTAGATACAAACATTAACTCAAAATTAATTATAAACCTAAATGTAAGAACTAAATCTATACACTTCTGGAAGAACACAGAAACTAATTATTGGGACCCTAGATAAGGCAAAGATTTCTTAGACAAGACACGAAAAAATTCAGAAAAGAAATATGATCAATTGGATTTCATTATAATTAAACTTTTGCACTTCAAAGGACAGTTTTTGTTTTTTTTTAATGAAAACGCAAGGCACAGTCTGGGAGAAAAACTTTGCAAAATCCATATCAGATAATGAACTCATAACCAGAGTTTATAAAGAATCCATACAACTCAATAAGATTTGAATAGCCATTTTACAAAAGAAGATATACAGATGGCAAACAAGCCTGTGAAAAGCTACTCAACATCATTAGTCCTTAGGAAAGTGCAAATTACAAACACAATGAGATACCATCATACACTTACCAGAATGACTTTTTAAAAAAGTGATAAGACTTAGCGCTGACAAGAATGTGAAGCAACTGGAATTCCCATGCATTGATGTTGGGATGCAAATTATACAGCCCCTTGGAAAACAGTTTGGCAGTTTCTTATAAAGCTAACTATATAGTAACTATATAACTCATCCATTCCACTCCTAGGTATTTACCCAAGAGAAATGATAGCATTCATTCACACAAAGACTAGTATTCAAATGATCAGAGCAGTTGTATTCTTAACATCCAAAAACTGGAAGTAACTGAAATGTCCCTCATCTGGTGAGTGGATAAACACATTGTGGTATATCCACTCAATGGAATACTACACAGCAATAAAAAGGAGTGAACTACTCATATACTAAATAATATCGGTGGATCTCAAAAGCATTGTGCTAAAGGAAAGAAGCCACGAAAGACTACATAGTGTCTGATCCCATTTTCATGAAGTTCTGAAAAGAAATGTGAACAGAAGACAAATGACCCCAAAGGGGCAGGAGGGAACTTCTTGGGATGATGCAAATGTTCTGTATTATGATCGTGCATATGTAAAACCTTGTCAAATTGTAAGATTAAATGCAAAAATTTTTGTTATATATAAACTTCACCTCAATTTTTTTGCAGGGTGCTTAGCAGATCAGCTTTCTGGGTCTTTACTGAGGATTTTCCCTTATATCACCTTTACTTTCAAGTGATGGTTGTTAAACTGAGTACAGAATTCTAGGTCAAATTGTTTTTTTCTCTTGTGAATATTAGGTTGAAAGCATTGTCTTCTAGAATCCAGTGTTCTTATGAAAACTCGAACAACAGTCTGATTCTCTTTCTTATGAGGTAACTTATCCTTCTTCTTGAATTTTTTATGATAATGATATTAGCAAACCTTTACTGAGAACTCCAAGTTCTGTTCTATGAGCCCTATTCCCTGTGCCTTCGAATTTCTCAGAGATAAATCCAGTTGTGATGTCTTTTTTATTACTATTCTGAGCACTAAGAACAGTTACAATGTAAAGACTATTACCCTTTGGGGGCAGTTTCCTCTGTCGTTTCCTGGCCTTTTTTTTTTCTGTCTCAACATCTCTCTTCTCTTCTACTAGGACTCCCAAGGATGAGAACTCCTAGGGATTGAGCCTTTGTTTCTCTTCTCTCTGATCTTATAATTTCTCCTCTTCCAAACCCTTTTTTTGCTTATTTTAGTTTGACAATCATACTTTTAAACTCTAAGAGCCATTTCTTGTTTTCTGAGTTATCCTTTTCCCTAAGCTACAGTTCTTGTTCTTTGAAAGTAGAAGTACTGTTCTTCATGAATGTCATTGAATGTGCTTATTAGAATGTTTGTTTGCTTATCCTGCTTTTATTGCCTTTGTCTTTCTCTTTTAGCTGTCCTCACCCCACCCTGACACACACATACATACCTGCTGATCCTTGGTTGTCCATTCATATACAAGAAGGGTGGGGTGACTGGGTGAGTTTCCTCTGTTGTTGGATTAGCAGGACAAGTTCTCCGTTCCTCACTCTTGAGTAAAGATTCTGACAAGGAGTGTTGGAGGGGTGAGAAATGAGGAGTAATTTGAGTGACAGGTGTTCAGTTAGGTAAGCAGACCATGACAAGTTGAGTGGGGGAGAACTAATACCTTCCAAAAGGAGAAGATTGTAGTCCTGGGCATTATCATTCAAATAGGAAGATTTAGCATTTCCTAGATAATATATTCTTTGTGTGTGTGTGTGTGTGTGTGTGTGTGTGTGTGTGTGTAAAGGTCCTCTTTATCCCTCTCCTAGAAGTAAATTCTAGCACTCAGCTCAGCTTGTAGGAGGAGGACGGAATGGTGGTGTCAACTGATGCCCTTACACAGTGCACAGACCTCCAATTAATCCACCTGTTTGTAGACAAACTTCACTCCCCTATCCTGGCTAACAGGCTACCTCTGAGCCAGGAACCTCTCAAGTCACCTGGTTCCCACCTCCTCAGCAGCCCTCCTGATGCATATTCTGGTCCGTGCTATTCCCAGATTATGTTACCCACAAGCCTACTCCTATCTACTTTTAATCATTCAGAATTTGTTGCCTCACTCGTTGAAGACCTGCTCCTCCTATTCCACTTACTATAGGAGTTTGGTGGCTTCGTTTTTTTGTTTGTTTTACCATTTTGTATTTCTGTATGTTCACCACCGTGCAATCTCAGAAAGCACAGAGGACAAACGACTATGCACTCCTCCCTCTCACAAGAAGTCTTCCTCATCCTCAACTTCTGCCCCTCTGGCTTCTATACAGGCCCCAAAACAACTCAAAAAATGTCACCACTTTCATGGAATTGTACACGTAGGAGCTGTGGAATTGGAGCATGTTTTGCTGTGTATATTCTCAACAACAACAAAATAAATTAATTAAAAAAAAAAAAAACACTCCTACTAATGGGATCCACCACCACAGACCCTCTAGAAGTCACCATTACTTATGAGATGAAACATATTTCTAAATTTTCTATGATCATTTTAAAGAATATGTGTATTCTTCACAAGTTCTACACGTGTGTTAAGCAAATCAAGATTAATTTGATAATAACAAGGATGAATTCTATAGTCACTGTTTCTATATTATGCTTCTTGGTTTGTCAAAGATTGTAAATGATTTCTTTAAATCTTTCACTATAAATTTAGTTTTTTAAGAACAACTTTAGAAATTGCTTTATATGTTCAGATGTTATGTTTTTGGCGGTCTAAAGGTTCACCACTACTCAAGCTTCACAAGAAAGTAGACTTTTTTGTCAAGGCAAGATAACTACATTCTGTTTAATTATTTTCTACTGCATTTCAATTTTTATGATATTGTCTATAAAGCTTTCTTTTGATTTATATATTCTTGGCATATCCTGCCCATCCCTTTCTTCTTAACCTTCCTCTGACAATTTGCTTTAGCTGTTTCTCCAAAACAGTAAAAAAAACCCTCTATTTTAATTTAATTTTGATCCGTGAAGGGGGTTATTTCTATTTATCCATTCAACAAATATTTATTGAGCACCTGCTATGTGTTAGGGCTGATATTCAGATGTGAACAAAACAAAAATGGTTCAAGCTATTATAATTTAATTTGTGTCTTATTTTCTCTATTTAGATTCACAAACTATTTGTTTGTTTCTTTGTTTATTCTACCAATCCTTACCTTCAGATCAGAAGGGGGGAAGAGTAAGATAAGGATTTCATACTCATTCATCATTGGAAAAAAGTAACTCTTAGCAAACTAGGAATAAAAATGATCTTCTAACCTGATAAAGGATATTGATATAAAACATACACACACATATGTTTTATTGATATAAAACAAATATATAACCATTGGTAAGACTAATAACTTTCCCCCTTGAGATCAGGAATGAGACAAAGATGCCCAATTTCACAACTTCCATTCAACATTTTACTAGAGGTTTTAGTCAGTGCAATAAAGAAAAATAAAGACATATAGATTAGAAAGGAAAATATTATCTTTATTTGCAGATGACACAATTGTGTACAAAGAAAATCCAAAATAACCTACAGTTAGAATAACAGAGAACACTAGCAAAAATGCTGAGTACCAAGAAATATACAAATATCAATTTTATTTCTATATAATGGCAACAAACAAATAAAAATTAAAATTTAAAAAGTATTAACACTTATATTAGCATCAAAGAACAACATGCCTAGAAATAAATCAAAGGAAACATGTGCACAATTTCTACACTGAAAACTACAAAATATCGAGAGAAATTAAAGAAAACCTAAATAAAGATTTCATTTTATAAAAACGCAAATCTTCCCAAATTGATTTATAAATTTACTGCAATCTCAATCAAAATCTCAGCAGTGTTTTTGGTGTGAGTGTTCTTATGCGTGGAAATTGACAAATTGATTCTAAAATTTTTATGAAAATTCAAAGGGCCAAGAATAGCTAAGGCAATTTTAAAGAAGAAAAGCAAGGTTGAAAGATTCACACTACCAGGTATCAAGACTTCTTATAAAGTTATAATAAATAGAATAGGATGATACTGGTGCAAGGATAGGCAAACAACAAAACCAAACCAATGGAATAGAATAAAAAGTCCAGAAAAAAAAAAAAAACACCCAATATTCAATCACCTGATTTACGAAAAAATGACTCTGTAGTGCAGTGTTTTCAATAAGTGGTGCTGGGTCAGTTGGATGTATATGTGGGAAAATATGTATCTTCACTCCTATCTCACGCCATACACGAAAGATCGATCCCAGATGGACTGCAGCTGTAAACGTGAAAGGCTGAACAATAAAGCTTTAAAGGGAAAACATCCTTGCAAACTTGAAATACACAGATTCTTAACTGGGACAAGAAAGCACTAGCCATAAAGGGAAAAAATTAATAAATTGGACTCTCAATTGAGAACTTCTGCTCGTCAAATATACTATTAAGAGAGTGAAAAAGCCAATCAGAGAGGTGAAAGAAATAAACGCACACGATCTCCAACCAAGGTCACTTAGCCAAATTGATATATGAACTCCTACAAGTTGATGAGGACAACATTTTAAAAATGGGACGATAGGCCAGTGACACAAGCTGATACTTCACAAAAGCAGATCTCTAAACGCTCAGTAAATACATGAAAAGGTGTCTAAGTAGTCATTGTCTTTGTTAGCTGCCTTCAAGTCAGCTCCAACTCAAGGTGACCTTATGAATAACAGAACAAAATATTGCCTGGTCCTGTGCCAGCTTCATGAAAGTTGGTATGTTTGAATCCAAAATAATCATCAGGGAAATGCAAAATAAAGGCACGATGCTATGCACTAACCTTCAGAAAGGCTAAAACAAGAAACATGGAAAATGCCAATGGATGTGGAACGGTTGGAACTCTCATTTGATATTGTTGGGGGTATAAATTGATACAAACACTTTGGAAAAGTATCTACCAAACCTAAACTTGTGCGTATCTTTGACCCAGTAATTCCACTCCTAGGTATACATACTCAACCAAAATGCATACATATTTTAACAAAGTTAGAATACAGTCATGCATCCTGTATGTCCATGATAGGTTCTGTGAAATAGGACATTACGTGATTTGTACATTGTGTGCACACCATATTAAACACAGGAAGTCCCTGGATTGCCAAAGAGTTCAGTTCCTAAGTCTGTGTTTAAGTCGAATTTGCACATAATTAGGAACGGTTAGGTACAGTTCGTATCTAACATCAGTTAGTCAAATATTTGTCTTAGTATATAGTATATCGTGTACTTTTCTGTGCATAAAAAACATTAAAGAAACACGTCCAGATATACTAAAACATTTTTAACATAATGATACATTAATAATAATGATAACGTTTTGATGCACATCACAAAGTCATGCCCATTTGTTATTAGGATCATTTTATATACCTCAGATTTTTAATATAATAGGCTCTATGGGGGTTGGGACCACTGACATATATGCAGACGTTGCCCAAACAGATGTTATGTGGCTCGTGACCGTATTCACGCCAGCAACGTTCATAGCAGTCAAAAACTGGAAACTCCTCAAATGCCATCAACAGTAGAATAATTAAGTAAATTCTGATGCATTCACACCGTGGAATACTACACAGTCATGAAAATGAAGAACTATACACTCTGGATGAATTTTACAAATCAATGTTGAGAAACAGAATCCAGAAAAGAATACATACATACTATATGATTCAATTTATGTTAAGTAAACAGCAAGATAGTGATTACTCTTGGGGAAGTGATGGTAGCTGGAAGGGAGCAGGAGGTGTCCTTCGGGTGCTGGTCTGTTCCTTATATTGATCTGGGTGCTTGTTACACAGCTGTGTTCAGTTTTTGAAAATTCTTCAAGCTAAATAGTTATAATACCTGCATTTTTCTGTATGTATGTGATACTTCAATAAAGTTAAACAAAAAGTAATGAAAGAAAATGTACCGCCTTTATTTTTACGGATGTTGGTACCACACATGAACTATATTTACATATAGATACTCTTTGTAAGACTTGATGGCCATGTTTTTTGTTTGCTTGTTTGTTTAGGTTTGTAAGATGAGAAAATTAATATTGCTTCCCTACGACCTTTCTAATTTTATCAATACAGCCATAAATATTTAGGCCCAAGCTATATTTGTAATTTTAACCCCGGTGGCATAGTGGTTAAGTGCTCTGGCTGCTAACCAAAAGGTCGGCAGTTCATATCCACCAGGCGCTCCTTGGAAACTCTACGGGGCAGTTCTACCCTGTCCTATAGGGTCGCTGTGAGTTGGAATCGACTCGATGGCAACAGGTTTGTAGTTGTTTTGTTTGTTAAATTATTGTACGTTTTGAGCATTATTTTGCATTTTGTTTTATAGCCACGTTTACCACAATTGTAGACTTTATTAAATATTGAACTGATTTCAATTGTTATTGACTTTTACAGCTCGTATTCTCCATTCTTGACTTAACTGATTTTGATTCACCTCTCGTTCGACTGGGAAACATCTTTCGAGAGATTCCTATAGAAAGAGTAACCCCCTATGATTTGTATCCTATCTAA